TTTTTTTTCAAACTTAAACACGCCCGATGAACAGCTTGAATGATGGCTGGAGAGTTTACTGTAACTGGTATGGAGTAATCAGTACCATCACTAATTCTCGATGTTCTCGGCTGACACACCTTCTGCGAGCAGCATGTGTTGCCAACCAGAATTAGGGATGCTATTGATCACTCCATACCATTTACGGTAATCTCTCCAGCCAAAGCCCGTTGTAGGGATGTCTTCTGTGCTGACCGATGTTACTGCATGATAACCGCATTCCCTTCGTGGGCTCCTTATCATGTCAACATGGCCTCAACATTTCGGAAATTTATGAAAGGATAGAGTAGGTTCTGGCAGTAGGAACACCAATTCCAGTGTCTGTGCCACTAGAGGTGTGGATTCCGGGGTATTTATGGAAAGTGAGACGGTAGGAAATTTTACCAATATTATAAGCCTCATTATTGGCGCTCATAGGTTCTTCCCATGAATATCAGCTCGTTCTTATCGCCTTGATTGTTTGGAGAGGTTAACAGATGATGGGAAATATGTAGGAGCTAATTTGTAGCTCATTCAGATCGGCTTCGAACGTAGTAAGGTTAAATGTGAACTTTTGGGTCGTTAAGCTCGTCAATCACTGAGCAGGCTTTTCTTCAAACTATTTTTTCTTCTCTCTGCTCCCAGAAAAGAATGATCTCCAGACTTACACTTAGCACTGCAATAGCACCCTTCGATCCCTCTTTATAGATAACATCATTGCTAGTGTTTAAGAGGGTATCCACTGAACCTGAGCAGCCAATAGAATCCTCGAAATATAGATAGGTCAAACTTTTTTTTCGAAGAGCTCAAGGTCAGAATTCAGGAAGCTGTCACTACTGAGGATTCGTTTGTACTTAAAAGTAACTGTGAATCGTAAAACTTAATCTATTTTGAATGAAATCGTGTATCTATCTAGCTGAACACCTTTATGCCCCTTCGTGCTTCTACCCCTTACTGATGACAATCGGTTCCTACCTTTCATATCCAGACTCCATTCTTTTTTGGATTGATTTAATAGATGATTCGAGAGTTGTGGGAATGTTTTATCATTTTTACCTATAATTGTTTTATTTGTCCCCTGTTAACGAAAAATGTCCTACTATTATAGGAAATAGAGACAATGAGCAGAGGCAGTGAGGCTTGGTTTGCTAAGTCCCTTGCTGATGGGTATTGCATGAAGAGACAGCTTCTATGCCTGGAGCCTGCATAATCGGCAATCAGGATACGAAAATAAGTAAATTGGGGGTAATGACAAACAATGATCTGAAAGATTTTCAAAAAAAAAAACTCTCGTAGTGAGACGCCAAACGGGGAGGATCTCTCGGTCGTGGCCGTCAGTGGAACAGGAACGGCTTCCTCGCCCACAGGCTTCTCCAAATCGCTTCTCTAATCACCAATGAAAATGTGATGAGGACCGCAGCCACAAGATAAATAACTTGGAAGTTGTGTGAATACTCTGAAGGTTCTTCCATCTCTTTGAAAAGGAGAAGTAATAAGAAGCAAGCCAAAGGGATGTTATTCATTGAAGGTTGTGACTGCATGAGCACTCCGAGTACTTTTGAAAGTTTAGGCAAGTGAAGCCTGATTCTTGCTCTTCCAACAAAACATCAGAAGGTATCAACAGCGGCAACTTCGAACTCTTGAACAACTTCCTCAGCTCAAAATACAAGGGAAACCTCGAGTAATGTTGTAGTCAGATTTGAATGATGGAGATCTGTTCAAATGGTTAACTACGGGTGCGCTTCGTTGCGCGCGTCCGTCGAAAGTAGGTCACGCCGCAGCCGTCGCACACTGCGGGTCAGCCCGCGATCTTTGACAAACGTCGCAGTTGACAGTGGGGCAAACCAGTTGCGCTTGGTCCACGGAGTTCAACCAAAGGAGAAGATAACGCGATCAAATGCAAATCATTTTCACCACTGTCACTTGATGGTACTGTAATGTCATCTCGAGACCTCAGTGGGGTGCGAAGCGCGCGAAGCGGGTGGGGTGACCTATTTTTGACGGACGCGCGTAAAGGACGTTCTCCGGGTAACTACGGTCATGCCTGTTTGGTACCGCTGACAAAAATCAGCAGCGTGCATTCGTGCGACAATGGTAATTGGGCACCAATCTCATCAATCCGAGGGTTTCTTAACAGTAGAATCGGTTTCAGTGGGCTCGAATATTCCAATGGCTTTGCTCGTGGCCTCGCGCCAAATAAGTAACGGTGGAACAGAAAATTGATAGAATACTTCGCCCGGTCAGCTGAAGAATCAAGTTGACAGTGATCTTATGACTTTGGCCTCTACGACTCTAAGTTCTCCAGAATTTAGGAGGGGACTGCTCTTATAGCAACCGCTATGAGGGCGAATTCTGTAAAAGAGTGTTGGATTCGCATAGAGTATTGAAAGCTCGCAGGGTTTTGTTTCCTTTGGGCAAGTCGTTCTCCTAAGGGCTAGCTCTTTTCTGAGCTCTTGATGAGGTGATGCGGTGAGGTCCTTGCACTTTGCCAAGGACATTTTCTCTTGGCTCTTCGCGACTCTCTACCTATTTCCTGCTCCATTATCAATTGTCTGACAGGCGGCAACGAAAAAAGGCCATTCGAAAGTTCGCGCCAGCTGAAATCTCAGGAGGTTTGGGGTTTTCCCATTTCCCTTCACGACGACCTTATAATCTTTATAATGGGATTTGTTACACTCGATATGCGCTATTCTGTGACAAGAACTTGAGCGCACGTTTGGATTTTTGTCCTTGTGCCTATGAAAATGCAGAGTTTGTGCGGTTTCAAATTGGATCTCGGTCCCTTGCCATATTGCGGTGAAATGCACCAATTTTGTTTTTTTACATGTTTGTTTATATTACAGTGGCACTCAAATTATTGAATTCTATTCAGTTATTCCGACTATATGTAGGTCATTATGTAGAACTGGTGCTTAGCTTTCTTTGAGCAACCACGGTCGTTCATTTGTGAAGAGGGTAATGCGGTAGGCCCATGTTTAGGTCTGTTGAGGGTATCCGGGAGAAATGGTTGATCTGCGCTTTACTGTCGGTAATCCCGTTTAACTAATTTTTGGGGTTTCCGATTAAACGCCGTCTGAGCTAAGAACTTCTGATCTGAAAGTCGTTTTTTTCTTCTCGAACCATGTCTTCGTTGCTCATTATCCCTAATTACTTTGAGCTTTGCTGCTTTGGTTTGATGACCCTTCGTGAACTTCTCGAGATTTTTTTATGCACTCTGATTGATACGTGAATTTTTCGCGAGAACGAGACTTGCAAGAAGGAGTAATCTTTCATGTGATGATTGAGTGGATTTTACAGTTGTTCCTTGGTTTTTAACTGATGGCAAGCACTAAGGATCGACTACGAATACTTTGTCTTCATGGATACCGCCAGAATGATGTGCTGTTTCGTGAGAAAACTGGCAGTCTGAGGAAACAGTTCAAGAAGTACGCCGATTTCGAATTCATCAGCGCTCCACTCGTACCAAACGTCGAATCAGAAGAGCGCGGAGATGTTCGAAGCTGGTGGTTTTCGCGTGAAGACGGCCAGTTCAGTAGTCGAGATGTTTGCTCCATAGCCACAGGCTTTGAGAAGTCAGTGAGTGCTTAGCTTGAGCTTATCTTTATCAAGTTTTTTATTTTCATCAAAAGCAGTTTCGTAAGTTATCGCTACAATGTCAACAAACGTAATGATAGGAACACTGGTCGCATTTTTTTGGAACTTCAGTCTTTCCTCTTTGGGAACATATTTCTCAAGATGTCTTTAGTATTCTGAGCCTTTGCCCAAATATCCATCAGGTGATTCTATCTTTTATTGATCTACTTCCTCTTTCAAAAGCTCCCTCATTGGGCTATCACTTTGAAATCGTTTTCTGATAGAGAGTCTAGAACTGTTTTTTTTTTCGAAGCATTCGGGAAACGCATGGAAGAAGCATTGGCTCAGCATGTACCATTAATCAACTGACGTGAGTTTTAGTCAGAGAACCGCTGACAAAGTTCGACCAACAAATGTTCTTTTGCATGGAGGGACGTGCTACTTGATTTTGCCACTTTGTCGGTTGTCTTTCTGTACTGTCGATGGACGCAGCTTGATAAGGTGAAGCCTTTATTGAGGCATGCAAGGGCAATAATATTACATCAAACAGGAAGGCTTATATACTCCGCAAAGGAATTCGGGCTCTCTTCTATTTAAGTAATATTTCTTAGGAAATGAGAGAATATGAAATATGTTTTGGTGGGTGAATAATCCTTTTGTTCGAGTGAATCATGGCGAAATTAGCTAGAAAGCCAAAAACATGATTCTGGTACAGAAATGTCAGTGTTCGATGAAAGGTGCCAACAACACGGTCAAGTGGCGGCTGGTTTCAACTAAAGCCGGATGGCGCATGTACATGGGTGCATTGCCTACAGTGTAGACAGCTTCCACATTGTTCTTGTCAATTATATATCACAAGTTGGAAGGCGCAGTAATATTTTGGCTGTTATAGTTGAAGATGCAACATCGTGCTTATAACACCGAACATCGAGCAGGCGGAACGAATGCTGGCCGAGTTTGATAGTGCTTGTGGAAAGATCGGCTTGAGGCTCAACCTAACGAANCTGAACCTAACGAAGACGATGTTCATGAAAAACGGTTGGGTACCTGATGCTCCCTTCACGCTAAACGGAACGAATATTTCCGAATGATCTAGCTATGTGTATCTAGGTCGGGAAGTCAACATGATGAACGACCTAGCTCCAGAGCTGTGCAGAGGGAAACGCGCCGCGTGGGGAGCATTTAAGAATATCGAGGGAGTAGTGAAGAAGACAAAGAACATCCGGCTCCGCGCTCACCTTTTCGACACTGCTGTCCTTCCTGCTTTGACGTACGTCTCGGAGACCTGGACTCTACGAAAGCAGGATGAGCATGCTGTCAGCGTTACTCAACGCGCTTTGGAAAGGACGATGCTCGGAATTTCCCTATACACGCAAGTGCAGAAGGGAATTCGGAGTTCCGAGCTCCGTCACCGAACGAAGATCAGGGATGCCGTTGATTACGCCAAGAAATCGAAGATCAGGTGGGCCGGACACGTTATGCGATATTGTGATGACCGTTGGACCAGGGCGGTTACTGACTGGATCCCTCGGGACATCAAACGATCTCCAGGAAGGCCGCCAACGAGATGGTCAGACTTCTTCACGAAAGCTCTGAACGAAAGGAATGTTGAACCTCGTGTCCCTGAAGCGAGAACGATTCACTGGACCACTCTGGCTCGTGACAGGGACGAATGGAGACGTTACTGACGCCCGCTCGAGGAAATCGATGATCAACGGGACGACAGGTGATACAGGTGATAGTTGAAGGTATTGGTATTAAGAAGCAGCGTGCTCAAGTTTATTTCATAAGTTGGTTAGTTCCATGAGTGAGATAAATGTCCCACCAATTATGATCCCCATGGCGATGGTGCACACTTCTCCCCTCATCATGTTGTGGGCCTTGGCAAACACTCCATTCATAGAGTGCATCGGCGTTTCTTATTCGAATGTCTCGGTTCGGCTTCAATGCGAAATTTTCATATCATGATCTCCATTTCCGGTAGGTTTCTAGGATGCTTGACCATCGTAGAAACCTATCGGAAATGGAGATCGTGATATGAAGATTTCGGTCCAGGGGCAGCTACCGGAACCAATCATAATCGAGAGCGTAATATGAATCGTAATCACGTACCACCACGATATGTGGCTTGCTGTCATGTTTTGAAAATCATCAGAACGAAAGGTCATCGATCGGAAATAAGGTTAATTGAGTCACGGTGCGGTGTGGTCACAACGGTAACTGACTCATCGTAATGTCAAATAATAGAGGAAATCTTCGCTTTCCTTAAAAATTCACTTCTCGAAGATTCAAGGTGAATTAGTTGAGATTTCGTCCAGGCCTCGCACCGAACTCGCGGCCGGCAAAACCACGCTTCACACGTCCCACAACGTTGTATGTTGTCAGCATTGGAAGCCATTACTGTATTGTAGCAGTACAGCTGAGTGGATTTGCAGTTGTTAGCTTGTCAAGTTTGGGTTTCATGAAGCTCTCGGTCTTTGTTAATTGAATTTTTGGTACATACCGAAAGAGGCTGTCTTTCTTTTTAGCAATAAATCACCATGATTGGTCTTTATTGTTCTTCCTTCTTAGCTGGATTACCTTCCAAATCTTCTCTAAAGAGCATTCGCTAAAGAAGGGCCAGTTTGTTTTGTAGTTACAAGAGTTGGATTCACAGTTGTGGTTGGTGTCATAGGGTTCAATAACACTGAAATCAAAACGACTCTGTATCGGCAATAATCCCTCGAAAGCGAGGACAGTTGCTTCCCACATGTAACCTAACTGGTGCCATAAAGCAATCTAAAATTGTGCGCGCATAGAAATCATATGGACGAACAGCTGGAGATTAATGATCGATTCATTTCATTTCGGTCATTCCATTCCTTCTTATTATTATCTTATTTGTGGCTGACTGTTATTGTGTTCGATGCATGGTAGAATTCCATGGCAAGTGATCAGCAAGATTAAGCTGATATCTGTCTTCACCGTTCCATTTCTAGAACATAGTTGAGGAATGGACATATTGAACAGAACCACCTCTTTTGGTGGGGATGCCAACTGAATTGTGTTCGCCAGGATAATCTTATACCTCAAGATATATCATACAGCTGCTTCCATCTTGCTTGCGGCCCTGTAGTGATAGCTTGATAACTGAAAAGTTATTTTAAAAATGAGAGGTCCTCAAAGAAAAGCTGAATTTGTTACTTTGTGACCTTCCGATTCAGATAAGCAAATGTAAAAGCTACTTTTCTATTTGTACATCATGAAACCTCTGCCTCGAAGCTGGATCAGTTGTTCTCATAGGATTATGAGGATCAAGAAAGTTCTCATCCTTCCCTAGTCCATTTTTTAATAACGCTTCTCTCTAGTCTGCCTCACACAGAAAACATCTCGCAAATTTGGGGGAAGCATTTTTTGCAATGTTTGAAGTGAACAAAATGGGCTTTGTAGTGTTCAAAGATGCTTGTTAGTTTGCTCAATCTTTTGGTTTTTCATCGCACTCCTGATTTCGAATTAATGAAATGAGTCGAATTTTGCGCAGGAATCCACATTTTTTATTTAATATTTCGCACAGTACTTGCAAATTTTACTTGAACATCTGATTTTCTCTCAGTACTTGCCTTCTCATAGTCTTGGAATGAGGGAGAATCGCATATCAATCTTCGAAGTCAAGCTGGAAGATTGTTGGATCCGCTTGGTCTTAGCATTCCCAGGACACAATAAATCTTGCTCAAATGTTCCATGTGTCGGCAAAGAAAGGTGGCTGTTGCCAGCAAGAATTAGAGCGAAATGCGTTTATTGCTCTTTCGAATAGTTGGCTTTTCTTCATGGTAAGAAGGAGCGGCTGCTCCAGTTCTTCAGATTTTGCTCCTTTTCTCCATTGCTTGTTCCTTTTACAGAAGGCTCTCTTGAGTTCAAAGTCATAAAAGGTTCTTTTCGCTTTCATTCCTACAACCCTTTGTTGAAGTCTAAGCGGAAGCTTATTTTACTATTTAGTGCACTAGATGTGCGTTCATCATGCATCATGAAGAGGTACTGCCAGCTGTTACAAAATTTTTCTTTCTCTCTTGCAGTATTTTTCCAGGGGATACTGTACTTCCAAAATCCCATTCCATGAGTATTAAATAAGGGGGCATTACCTTAATTGTCCGTTGATTTGATAACTCAGTGATTATTAAGCAATGAGATGCTTTCTTGAGTTTGAAATATGAAGACTCATTTGATCCATAATAACCAGACGATAATAACCGTCTGCTTTGTTGTACCAGTGCGTTCTCAAGTGCAGGAGGAAAACTAAAGACGAAAAAGAAGCCGCAGCCAAAGGCTATGGTCGGCGGAACGCTTTTGAACCCCATCATCCACTTACCTTTTTATTGGCTTGCGGGTTCTTTCAAATGTAATTTGTGAGTTGGTGATAATGACAGCCTTGCGAGAGAAAATGGTTCGTACACTTTACGAATGTTTTCAGGTGTCGTTAGTTTGCGATTACGTGCGCGCGAATGGTCCCTTCGATGGGATACTCGGCTTTAGCCAAGGTGCGTCTATGGTCCATCTACTGCTGGCTATGGAAAAACGTGGCGAAATCGAGCTAGGCTTTCGCTTTGCCATATTCTTTGCTGGATTTTTGAGTCTGTCATCGGTTCACGATTGCTATACGTCTCAGACATTCGATATTCCATCATTACATATCTACGGTTCTGGTGATCAAATAGTAGTGGCTGTTACCAGCGAAAAGTTGAAATCAATGTTTAGCAACAGTATAGCAATTGTCCATGATGGTGGTCACTTTATTCCTTCGATGTCGAAATTTAAAGATGTTTTCGGTGATTTCCTGAAAGGATTTGTTGATGTTTAACGGCACTTCACTTGATCTCGCTGTTGTGATATTTTTGGTTGTGATATGTTTACAATGAAGTTTTAAGTTTACCATTTACTAAAAGATTGAGTTAGTTCTCCAATTCTACCGAGAATGTTTTCGTTTCGTTTTATTCGTTATTAGCTGAGTTTTCATCATTGCTTTGATCATACTTTATTCTTTTTTTTTTGTAGAAATGAACTTTAATTATGGGAAATTGCATTAGTGAGGACGCACAAAAAGGGCACAAGGACTTCTTAAAGAATGTGAAATCCGATCCAGAGACACAAGTGACCTCGTTCCGAGTCTATCTGCATAGGAGAAACAAATTTATT